TGTGTGTGTGTGTGTGTGTGTGTGTGTGTGTGTGTGTGTGTGTGTGTGGTGCAGGTTATCAAACCTGAGGCTTTTTGCATGCATGTGAGCATTCTACCACTGAAGCATACCCTTCTTTTAACAAGCAGTTGCCTGAAGAATCAAGATTAATTCCCCATACTATGAATGGAGGGAAAGTATGCCTAGTGAGGCTTTTCTGGAAGGCAGTTTGAGAAAAATCTAAATAATCTATGCATAGCAAGATGATACCTATTGCTAAGCTGTTTTTCAGTGGTCTTAGAGGAAGGGCTATTCATTTCTTCACTGAACAAATTTTGTTTGTCTTTTTGTCTGGTGACATTATTCTTACCTAGTGTAGACCACCTTTGATCTATTCATAGTTAGTTTTTCTTCTCTTGAAAAGAATCAGTTTAGGTGTGTATTGTACTAGAGAGGCTGAAACAGGGCAATTGTGAGTTTCAGATTAGCCTAAACTATAGAGTAAATTCCACAATAGCTTGAGATAGATAGGTTGGAGTATATATCAGAAAAAAAAAATCAGTGGTTTCTGTGAAATGATATCTTTTAGATGTGACATTGTTATTGGACTGGAATTCACAGCAGCAGTGGCTATGTGCACAAGACCTACATGAGATTAGTAGGCCCATTGATATCCCATTGTGGATAGGTAAGGAGGTGGTTAGGTGTCATCCCTTCTCCTGAAGAGGCAGTTAATGGTTGCTTCTTCAGTTAATGGTTAGTTATTCAGTGTTGCAGCTGAAAGGATCAGACTAACTTTGTAACCTATATGTCTTCTAAAGCCTATAGTTTTGAGTTTTAGGTCCAAGTTAAGCTACAGCCTCTTAGTGCCTTTCCAGAGAACTGAGGAAGGTGACCCTATCTGTGAGGACAGATATAAAAAAAGCGAGCAAGCAATGACCTTCACTCAGCAAAAAGAAAGACCAGACCCTTGTGTTTGAGATAGTGTTTCTTAGCAACCAACCCAGATGGCCTCAATTCTTCTTCTGAATAAACCCTTACCTCCAGCCAAAAGCCTGCAGCCCAATCTTCAAGGATGAGCTAACCACCCCCACCTTTAATTGCAGCTGCATCCACACTTGGCAGGACTGGCCAAGCTTGAGCACTTAAGACTGACCAATTATCTCACTTTATAGCTTCCTCATCCAATCCTGAATTGCCAAGACTGCAACCTCAAAATTCCTGAGCTTTGTCTTTTAAAAATCCAAGGCCTTTGTCTCCAGGTGCCACTCCTTGCTGACCAGCAGGGGTGACCCCATTGCGCAATGGTCAAAATAAACCTCTTGCGATTTTGCATCTATACCTGTCTCCTGAGTTCTTTTCATCCCTTCTCGAAATTAGGCTCATGCTTGGCTTAACACAGCCACTGGTAAGTTGCCCTCATTTGTAAATAACTCTCCACTCATGCTCATGCAGGCACCCCTAATTAAATGCACACAGTCACAAAAAAGGCATGATGTGGAGTGGGGACTTTTTAGGAATAAAAAAGAATTTGGTGTGGAGGAGTACGTGAGGGGGGAATATGATCAAAGTACATCCCTTTCCTTAAAACAAACCAACCAACAAACAAAAACCAAAAAAAAATCCTTAGTTTTCCTTTTTGAAAATTTCATACAAGAGCTCTGTTTTTACATAATTTCCATTCCTCCCTAGCCTCTCTTGGACTCCTTCCACCCCTCACAACTCATCTCATGTTCATAACCTCTCATACAGTCCTAACTATTCAGTCCTGAATATATGCATAGAACAGCAACACTAAATGAGCTCTGTAGGTTGTATGTAAATAATATATGTATGTTGTTATGCCCAGATCTTAAGGTCCCCAAAGACCACCAGTAGCCAGATCACCTATGCAAAAACAAAAGCTCAGTTTCTCCACCATCACCAAAGCAGTGGATCAGAGAGGAGAGCCCTTAGCATCTACATAGCAGGATTTTTATTTGGGGCTTGAAGAAGGACCCGGAATTCCTAGCTTAGCAGTTACATGATTGGATGATATTCAGCATGGGCAAGCTTGTTACAAAGTGATTGGCTAACTAAAATAACTAACATGGAGCGAGCTATCTGTAGACCACAGGAATGTTAGGTCGGTGGGCTGTCCAGCACAGATGCCCCACCCTGAGATAAGATACCTTGCCATTCTTGTGGTTACCTCCAGGCTATTCCTTGAGTAGGGAATTTTATGTTTTCTTATTCCTGGAATTGATCACCTATGGTCTAGTTCCTGGCATTGATGACTTTGGGGGGAGGGGGTCAGGCCTGGTCCTTTCAATGTAACAAAGTACACTTATAAATCTGTATAAAATTGTGAAAGAATCGGGTTTTTTGTTTGTTTGTTTTG